GTGTGTGTGTGTGTGTGTGTGTGTGTGTGTGTGTATTAATTTCTAAATATATTCATTATCGAAGTGACTATTCCCAGTGACATTGGGGATAGGTACAGAAACTATTCCCAGTGACAACGGAACTCTTTTGCATTAAAAAAAATCAGAAGTCTTTGCATTCTTGACACTCTGCTCCCTTCAGTCCGTAGATCTAGAAGAAAGAAGAATCGGAAATGATTTCTACCTGTCCTGTACCGTGGTCTCCAAAATCCGTATATTATGTAGATCTAGATCTACACGTACATTTAAATTACGACTGAATAACAAGTAAGCATAAAATAATCATTCCTTTTTCTTTAAAAAAAAATTATTCCACTCACACTAGAATCTACTTTAGTTTAGTTAGATCTAGTTTAGTATATAGTAACTCATCACCATCTTGCCCATGTAGATCAGTGTGGGAACATTATATCTAACGGGCCTGTCTGTTCTCAGTGTCACTGGGAATAATTTCTGAGCCTATCCCCAGTGTCATTGGGAATAGTGCTTTCCATTTATTATATATATATATATATATATATATATATATATATATATATATATATATATATATATATATATATATATAGATTATATATATATATATATATAAAATATATATATTTTTATTTTTTTTAAATATATATATATATATATATATATATAGAGAGAGAGAGAGAGAGAGAGAGAGAGAGAGAGAGAGAGAGAGAGAGAGAGAGAGAGAGAGAGAGAGAGAGAGAGAGACAAACACACACACACACACAAAAACAAATACAGTCAGACTAATTCAGCCACGTTCCCTTGTGTTTCTGTCAACAGATCAGAGTTGTTCCAAATCCTGGATGCTGAACTGGGGCCGACCAATTATTGTGGCGGGAACACAGGCCGGGAAGAATAGAGTCTGAAGAACACAGGCCGGGGAGAATAGAGTCTGAGGAACACAGGCCGGGAAGAATAGAGTCTGAGGAACACAGGCCGGGGAGAATAGAGTCTGAGGAACACAGGCCGGGGAGAGTAGAGTCTGAGGAACACAGGCCGGGGAGAGTAGAGTCTGAGGAACACAGGCCGGGGAGAGTAGAGTCTGAGGAACACAGGCCGGGGAGAGTAGAGTCTGAGGAACACAGGCCGGGAAGAATAGAGTCTGAGGAACACAGGCCGGGGAGAGTAGAGTCTGAGTAACACAGGCCGGGACCAATAGAGTCTGAGGCTGGAAATTGTCATGTTGTGCGGGAAATTAGACATGTATAGGGGAAGGGGAGGGGGGGGGGGGCTTTCGTGGCCTAGAGGTTAAGGTGTTCGCCTCTCATTCAAAGACCCCGGGTTCGAAATATTTTCTTCTCTAAAATTGTCTCCTTTCACCTCCTTTCCTGTTCTCTGGCAAATGTTCTGTCGTCTGCTTTCGTCTCCACCCGGGCAAAATTCAAAATGTCCTACCAACTGAAAATGTTGAATGATTCCCGCGCGCTCATATGACCTTATGCCGTTGCTAGCGCCGTAAACGCTTACCAAAGCAACAAGTCGTAAAAAGACACGTATCTTTCAAATCTTTTCTGTGCTTTGAGCATCACAGTTTGCTTTAGAAATGTTTCTTAGAACTCCCTTTATTTCTGAACCCTGTCCGTATAAAACACGACGTACGGATAGGGTTAAGTGGTGGCACTCTTGTAAGCTCCCTTAAGCTCCAGCTGTCAAACAAAAGACCTAGTTAGCAGAATGATTAGCAACTAAGGGAAAGCATAATGTTGACAATCGACTCCCCTACCTGGATTGCTCAATGGTAGTAAAGTTTGTCATACATTTTTTAAAAACCCAAAAAAACGACGTACGGATAGGGTTAAGTGGTGGCATAGAGTTCCCCACGTCGTATGTATACGATAGTAAAACACGACGTACGGATAGGGTTAAGTGGTGGCACAGAGTTCCCCACGTCGTATGGATACGATAGTAAAACACGACGTACGGATAGGGCTAAGTGGTGGCACAGAGTTCCCCACGTCGTATGGGTACGATAGTAAAACATGACGTACGGATAGGGTTAAGTGGTGGCACAGAGTTCCCCACGTCGTATGGGTACGATAGTAAAACACGACGTAAGGATAGGCTTAAGCACGTCGTCTCTCTCAGCCTAGACCTCTGTCTCTGTTCTGCGAGGCCTCCATCACGTGACTACACGTCCAGATTCCTCCAACATTCCTCAAGGGAAAAAGGAAGAGAAAACTTCTCCAGTGGTAAACAACCCCCCCCCCTTCCCCGAACATTGTGGGAGATATGTTCCTGAACTTCTCGCAAAAGCGGACATTCCCTGTAGTTGAAACGAACATATATATGTTGGATATGTGTGTGGCACTGTGGTGAAATCAGGCGCTCGTCAAAATAATGAAATCGTAGAAATCAACACCTGTTGGGCATTTTTTCAGAAAAATCAATTTCTATTTGGGGTTGGGGTTGGGGTTGGGGTTGGGGTTGGGGTTGGGGTTGGGGATATACAATTTGTATGTCCATTTAAATACTTTTTGTTTGTTTATATTACTGAAAAGTGCTGATGAAAGGCTCAGTTTATAATGTAGATTTTCCATTACCAAGGATACCCAAGTTTTGAGAGACATTTTCTCACTAATTTTGACACAAGGCGACCCTACCTCCTCTAATTGGAAAAATCACAACTTCTGTTGAAGATAGATCAGGTTTTTTCACGAAAAGAAAGACAAACAAACAAGCTTTAAGATGACGTCAGCAGCTCCGTAGTTTCCATCAACTGGTAGACAAGCGCCTCGTTTCTCCGTGCTGTGACACACACATACACCGCGACCTCGTAATTATAAAGTTCTGTCAGACATTTAGGCCGTTTTGAGTTCGTCTCTACAAAGACCGTGACGTCAGAAACCAAAGTATGTCCTGTCTGCTCTGTCCAAACCGTAAGTTTATTCCGAGTCATTGTCAAGATATTAAAGAATTACATTCGAAAAGGTTTGTCATGTTGTAAAACTCTAAATCTTGGACGTCAAATTTCTTTAAACTAGGTTTGGGAAGGTGGGGAAATTCCACTTTGTCGGGTGTGAGGCCAGGGAAGGAGAGGTGGGGGGGGGGGGGGTATACAACTTACCCCGAGCTTTTTGTTTTAATAAGCGTTTTACGGCACTTGCAACACAATTAGGACATATCATAAAAGTCAAAGATTTGAGGTGTTACAAGAGAGAAACAAACACAAAAAGATGAAGGAGGGGAGATAAGGAAAGTATGAAAGGTAAGAAGGGGCAAACCACATCAGAGCACCCGCCAACCACCCACTTATATTACGAACTAAAACACCGTCTGTACCCGCTCCTATACCTCCCCCCTCCTCTCCCACCCCTCCTCTACACTTGGCGCGTGAAAAACCAACGGTGTTGAGAAAGGAAAACATTCCAAATATTTACGACATTTGTTTACAATTTGTTTTCCATTTTAGCGAGTTGCGATTGGTTGCGTTTCAGCCAATAGGATGGCAAAATTCAGGGGCGGCTCGTGGGGCTAAAAAGTGGGCGTGCACAATAATAATTATGCTATTGCATGCTGAATTATAGTCAAGGACATAGATAGCAAATGAGACGGTGTATAATTTTAGGATCTTTGGGTTGGTGAGGGAGGGCCTCGTGCTGTCTGTTCAGTACCTACTGTGGAGAAATTGGACGTGAACAATTGTAAGTTTCACAACATGTCAAGTTTTGTTAATGCAATTCTTGGAATATCTTGATAACGATTCCAAACTGTCTTACCATTTTGATAAAGTAGATGGAACATTTGGTTTTTATTCTCAATGTCTCAATAACTATTTTCATTCTTTTTACTTGTCGCTTTGATTTCTAGAACTAAATTTGTTTGTTAGCTAAACATCAATTTCGTTCATCCTGTATTGGAACTGAACACTCAAGTGTATGTAATAACTTTCACTACTCCACTACAAAACCATTCAAAGGCACAACTCCTAGGGCGGTCACGTATACCTCCCTCAGGTTCACGGTCACAGAGTCACTTAAAGTAGTGGCAAGACAAACAATGAACCAATCACAATTCACTTGAGCACTCCGCTGGATTGCTCCGGGGCTCACATACTATTGGCAAGAATAGCGTAGGGTCTATCGTGTTTATT